CCTTCCCGATATGAGTCGCGTCTGACCTAATAGTGAGTGTAGAAGCGCTGTCTTCCCGGAGCCCACACTCCCTATAATCCCGACATGAGTTCCCTTTGGAATATCTATACTGACGTTAATTAAACAGTGCGTCAATGGACTGGTAGTCGAGGGCTGAACAGAAGCATTGTTAACCGATTTTGGATCAGATTCAGGAGATTTTATATCAGGTGCTGTATCCCAGGCCAGTGTCGCGCGCTTGAGTTGAATGGCAGTGAAAGGGCTGACAGTGAGTCTAATATAGTCTTTCCTATCGTCGCTGAGAAGCACTTTTTCGATGCGTTTCAATGCTATCCTTCCGTTAATGATATCTCTTAGATATATGGGAAGCGATCGGATTCCATGTGCGGCCATATAGTTGACCAGAACTAATGTGAATGCCTGTCCCAAACATAAACATGTTCACCACGTTATAATAAGCATTAGATTTCAAGTAACTGTTTTATTCTTGATTATACTTTGGCTGTTGTCAGACCCCCCTGTCCGGTGAGGGTGTAGACCAGTATTGTGACTACAGTTATGATCAACGGTGTGGTCAGTGCTAACGATGTACTCAAACACTGCAAGTATTGACACTTTTCGAGCTCTCGTTTCTCTTTTCGACGATATTCTGTATGCATTCAATTGAAACCAATTAATACATAATAATCAGTGTTTGCGTTGATTGGGGCACTAAAGGGTCACACCTATTATGGATTTGGAGAATACCTGTTCCCAAGCGTAGAGTTTTATGAGTTTAATATACGTCAACAATTCAGTCATCAGTGAAATGCGTTTATCACTATTCATAACCACTTTCTTTCGGTACCCACTCTGGGCTCTGGCGGTCAGGAATTGTAGGCTGAAAATAATGACAAACACCAAATCGCCTACCAGTGCCAGCGGACCCAACAGCCACCACGTGTACAACACGGTTACCACTGTCACAATAGGTCCACCCAATACTAGCGGAAGGATATACACCATATGAAACACTTTATTCATATCCACGGCAAACAGATTGACAGTCTCTCCAACGGCTGTATTGAGGGACTGGGATGTAGTGAACAGTTTGTCGTATAAGAGACCACTTAATGCACTATTTGTGCGGATGCCAGTCCTAATACAAATGCCATACATTATGGCATAACTAGACGCCCGGCATAGTTCGCACACAAATAGGGCGGCCGTCCACATAACTCCCGGTGCCATTGACTCCGACCCTCTTTCTATGTAATCCAACAGATTCTTCAGAATTAATGTCTGGAATATTGTGAATGAAATAATTATTCTTAAAAATTCTATACAAAAGTATTTGATTCTTACGGAACTTAAATAACCCAATAGTAGGCAAATTAGATAAAAAATGGATGCAAACAAAAGTCTCGTTTTAATCAATTGATTGATGACTGTCTGGAGGGAAGGCGTCTTTTGCGAGGCTTCCTGTTTGTGACACTCGTCTTGCCATAGATTAGACAATCTAGTAGTGGATATAAGTTCGTAAAAATTAATATTTTTTAATAAATAGAAAAATATTTAGAAACAAAAGCATACCTCAAATGATTGGTACGACAAGAGTCTAATTGGGAACAGTTATAGATATCACTGGGTGTGAGGCCTTTGCGGAACGACCGCCAGATAATGGGTGTCATCCATGAGTAGTATATGTATGACAAACACGAAGCCCTATCAATAGGCATCTCCTTTTCATCTCTACAATAGTTCATGAATTTGAAACTCTTTAACAAATAAATTCTGATTCNACGATACTGGTCTACACCCTCACCGGACAGGGGGGTCTGACAACAGCCAAAGTATAATCAAGAATAAAACAGTTACTTGAGATCTAATGCTTATTATAACCTGGTGAACATGTTTATGTTTGGGACAGGCATTCACATTAGTTCTGGTCAACTATATGGCCGCACATGGGATCCGATCGCTTCCCATATATCTAAGAGATATCATTAACGGAAGGATAGCATTGAAACGCATCGAAAAAGTGCTTCTCAGCGCCGATAGGAAAGACTATATTAGACTCACTGCCAGCCCTTTCACTGCCATTCAACTCAAGCGCGCGACACTGGCCTGGGATACAGCACCTGATATAAAATCTCCTGAATCTGATCCAAAATCGGTTAACAATACTTCTGTTCAGCCCTCGACTACCAGTCCATTGACGCACTGTTTAATTAACGTCAGTATAGATATTCCAAAGGGAACTCATGTCGGGATTATAGGGAGTGTGGGCTCCGGGAAGACAGCGCTTCTACACTCACTATTAGGTCAGACGCGACTCATATCGGGAAGGGTAGGCCTCAGGGGTTCGGTTGCCTACGTATCTCAAGACCCATGGATTTTAAACGCCAGCGTCAGACACAACATAACTTTCGGTAATGAGTTTGACTCCAAACACTATTACGATAGCGTCCGGTGCTGTGCACTCAGTGCAGACATCTCGGCACTGGTAGCCGACGATCAGACAGAAATAGGGGAAAGGGGTGTCACTCTATCAGGTGGTCAGCGCCAGAGGATTAGCTTAGCCCGTGCTTACTATGCGAACAAAGACATCTACTTATTGGACGATCCCTTGTCGGCCGTCGATCGCACTGTCGGTCAACACATATTCAATAATTGTATCAAAAATGGATTGAAAGACAAAACTGTTTTACTGGTCACCCATCAGACCGAGTGCTTAGAAGCTATGGATTTTGTGATTTTCATACGTGAGGGACGGGTTGTAAATACTGGCGCTCATAACGAGCTGTACGATAGTGATGATGAATACAGACAATTGATAGACTCGTCAGTGATGTTGGCCTATAGTCGACACCAAGAATACAGTGATAGCATTGGCACTAATGTCAGACCACTTGATGATAGGAATGGTATTAACAATTCTTCTGATGCGCGACCACTACCTGTGCGGTCCAACTCAAGAGGTACTACTTCAGAATCTGCCTTTACTTCCAAATCGTTTCATAATTCAATGTCCGGCCAATTGATAATGGATGAGAAGTTGGGAACCGGGAGTATATCACTCGACACATACAAGTCGTACGTGAAGTCCGGCGGAGGACTCCTTATAATAGCATTCCTAATGGGATGGTTAGCATTGCAAGCGATGACCACTTCATTCGCCAACTGGTGGTTAGGCTATTGGATGGCACAGGGAGACGGAAATGTATGTTAAGTTGCCTTTTAATACTCTAATCACATATCAAATAATTGAATAAAAGGCCACACATACAGGTGCTGTTAAAGGACACGATATTCTAGTTAATCCAAACCTGAAGTACTACCAGACCATTTATGGGATATCAGTGGTAGTCATACTATGTGCTACACTAGCGCTGGGATATGTGTTTACAAAAGTCACTCTAAACGCTTCCAGTGGTCTTCACGACCAGGTATTCGACAAAGTGCTGAAGAGTCCCCTGTCTTTCTTCGATACCGTTCCCATCGGTCGGGTGTTGAATGTATTCACGCGAGACATGGATGAGATGGACACTCAGGTGCCACAAGCACTGGACGGCTTCCTACAGCGCTTGATGGTTGTCCTCTGCGACCTATTCATCATAATTGTGGTCTACCCGTGGTTTTTGATGCCCTTCTCGGCACTGGTAGCTGTCTTTTGGCTTATTCACGGTATGTTTAGAGGCGCTATGCGTGACTTGAAGCGCCTGGAGTGCGGCCTAAGGTCTCCCATCTATAGCCACATCACGGCTACCATCGAAGGTCTGCCGACAATCAAAGCATTCAATAAACAAAACCAATTCGTCGACCGATTCCGTGAACTCATTGACAGCCAATCGGCACCTAATTTCTTGTACTACTGTTCCGTGCGATGGCTGTCCACACGCATCGACATCATCTGTGTGTTTGTCTCACTATTCGCAGCCATATTTGCCATCAGCGGTAAGGATAGTGTGGGCGCGCCCTATGCCGCACTCGCACTCGTACTATCCATTCAGGTATATCTGTCATAGGACTGGTAGTCTAACAGTGTGTCTAATAATTATCATGTATTTTGTGTCCATAAGTTAAGCGGTTTATTGCAATTCGTGATCCGATTGGGTGAGCACTCGTACTATCCATTCAGGTATATCTGTCATAGGACTGGTAGTCTAACAGTGTGTCTAATAATTATCATGTATTTTGTGTCCATAAGTTAAGCGGTTTATTGCAATTCGTGATCCGATTGGGTGTCGACGCCGAGACCCGATTCACATCCGTAGAGCGCATTCACATGTATATCAAAGGACTGACACCTGAAGAGGACGTCATCACCACTGAAGCCAATAGAAAACCAATTGATGATAACTGGCCGGCGAGTGGAGCCATCAGTTTCCGAGACGTGTCGATGCGCTACCGGCTCGGCCTTCCGCTGGCACTAAACGGCATTACACTCGACATCCGACCGCAGGAGAAGATCGGACTCATCGGCCGCACCGGCGCTGGAAAATCGTCGATCGCTTCGGTATTATTTCGTTTAGTGGGTCTGACGTCCGGCGCCGTACTCATCGACGACGTCGACATCGGGTCGGTGCCATTGCGTGAACTACGGGCCCGCATATCAATCATACCTCAGGACCCGCTACTCATCCGAGGCTCCATTCGCAAGAACTTGGATCCGTTGGACGAGTTCGACAGCCCGACTATTATGACGGCGCTCGACAGCGTTGGGATGCGGCACAGGATCGACCGCCTGAGGGATGGTATTGAAACGACTGTCAACGAGACCTCCGGCGCCAACTTCTCGGCCGGTGAGCGACAGTTGCTGTGTATGGCCCGCACTTTACTGAGAAGGACCCGGATTATGATTCTGGACGAATCTATGGCAAGAATGGACGGCGAGACCACAAATGCCATACATCAGACCATTAGGTTGGCGTTTGTAGGCTGTACTGTCATTAAGATAGCCCACCGGTTGGCCACTGTTCGCGACTGTCATAGGGTTATGGTTATGAGTGAGGGACGGGTGGTTGAGTTCGATAGGCCGGACGTTTTAGCCGCTAATCCCGACTCGTTTTTCTCGAAAATGCATTCAAATGTACAGCAAATTTGATGATAAAATAGTTAATTAAATTTGATAACTAATGCGATCATTGCGGTAATTGACATAAGTTATAATTTGGATACAGTAAGTAATTAAATATTTCGCGGTTTGAATGGATTTTGAATTTAAATTATACCTTAAATAGAATATTATTGCCAATAATTTATTGGTTTAAATGTGAATATGGTTTTAGAAATGGATTTCAATAAGAATTTAATCATAATTTTTAAATTTTGTTTGGATTATTAAATTATAAAAGTATTTTGGGTTTTAAAATTAATTAAAATGCTGTGAAATTGGACATTGTATCCAGATGTTTGGCTGTAATTTTAATAAAATATTTTTAATGCCCAATTAATATTTTTAATAAAATTAATTATTATATAAAATGGATGTTTTGAGATACTTATCTGAGTATTGTATTATCGGGAATGCATGGATTGGATTATCTGTGATAACAACACTTTCACTAATTTATCTGTAAATTATTTTTGTTTATTTTAATATTTTATTTTATTTTGGTTATAATTTAACAGATATTTGACTCGTAATTACAATTATTGGTCCAAAAGGGGAGTCAATGGTCCTAAACCTTACCCAAGAGTTGGCAATAGTTTGGATAACTTTCTGAAATCAATCACTTCTGTAGAGATCGACTGGTTTAAGAAATATGGAAAAATTTATGGGTATTTGTTATCATAGTCTCTATTTCGTCATAATTTAAACCCGTTTTTCTTAGGATATTCAATAATGAACTACCAGTCCTTACTATTGCCGAACCGGAACTCATAAAAACTGTTTTAGTAAAGGATTTCCACTTATTTATAGATCATAAGGACTCGATGTCTAATAATAAGATATTATTCAAGCATTTGTTTAACTCGAGAGGCGATGACTGGCGACGACTGCGGTCTATATTAAGTCCGACATTCACTTCCGGGAAAATGCGGAAAATGTATCCAATGGTGAGGGAGTGTCTCAACGACCTGTTGGATCAGTTAGATGTATGCGCTGTAAATGGCAATGACATCAACCTTAAGGATATGATGGGGAACTACACTATGGATGTGATCGCCAGGTGTGCCTTCGCTACCAAAACCAATGCACACAAAGACCCCAACAATCCGTTCGTTACAAACGCTAAGAAAATCTTTTCATTTCCATTCTTTCGGATCCTTTTGATTATACTTTTGCCCAAAACTGTTCGCAAAGTGTTTGGCATTAATACGATCGATGATAATGTCAACCAATTCTTCTTCGATATAACTAAACAAGTGATACAACAGAGGAAGAGCTCAAAAGATAGTCATAAGACATACAATGATTTCATTAAACTTCTTGTGGACGCGGAGTATCAGAAAGAAGAACTCATGGATGAGAAAGATATCAGTGAATCGTATCACGTGAATGAGGGTTAGTTTAATTGACAGTCAGTTTATTAGGTATATTATAATGCAATTCATCTGATTTTCATACTTTATCCCAAGAAATGGATTCAAAACCATTAACCAGAAACTTATTATCCATTGATTCGTCGAACAAACGCTTAAGTGATTATGAAATCCAAGCCCAGGGATGGGTATTTTTTGTGGCGGGTTATGAGACAACGGCAACCACTTTGTCCTTCTGTTCGTATCAGTTGGCACTCAATCCGCACATTCAGGACCGACTGTACGAAGAGGTGGAGGGAGTGGTTGACTCGGACGGGGAGATTAAATACGATGAATTGGTAAAACTACCGCTTTTAGACGCCATTCTCTCGGAGACACTCAGACTATATCCACCACTCGTGAGACTCACGAGAAAATCAAAGTCTGACTACATGTTAGGCGACACCGGAATCCAGTTATATGGCGGACAAGACATAAAGATTCCGGTCTATGCTATACACCATTCAGAAGAATTCTACCCGAATGCCGACAAATTTGATCCTGATAGGTTTATGCCACACAATCGACATAACATAAACCCTTACATATACCTGCCCTTTGGTGCCGGCCCTCGACATTGCATTGGTATGCGATTCGCGTTAATGGAAGCGAAGTTAGGTTTGGCACACATTGTGAGAAGATATCGATTTATTTGCACAAACAAACAGCCGTTCCCTTGAAGTTCAAGACAATCACGAGAATATGTGCGGCTGAGAAGGTAGTGGTCGGTATTGAAAAGAGATAATTCATTGACATATCAATAGATTTATGAATAATTTTGTATTTTTATTACAAAACTGTACGAATAATAGTAATAAAGAATATTCTGTGTTAGAGATGTGTGAATGTAAATGAGTCACACTTTAAACCATTTATGGCTTAGTATCTCATCTGCGGTCGCCCTCATGACCGGATCCGATACAAAGATTCTTGATAACAGTGCCTTACAGTCAGCGTTGGCTATCTTAGCGCCTGTATCCCAAGTCCCGTCCGACAATTGTTTGTCTAATGGAATGTCACTTTTAGGAGGGAATGGAAACGAATCGGTCATCAAATAGTAGATAATAACTCCCAATCGAAAGACATCCGAACAGATCTCTCCGTGTTTTTTACTATCGATCACTTCCGGTGCCAAGTATTGGGTGTTAGGGTCGGCGCTGTACAGACACAACACTTTCTCGCCGTCCGTCTGATAGCACACGTGGAACCGCTCTAAGCCGTGAAGTTTGATGTTACCCCTCGAGTCCACCAAAAGACTATTAACTGTCAGATTATGACCGAAAGCTACACCAATGCTGTGCAGGTATGCGAGCGCCTCCACCACAGTGCGCGACCACTTCTTAACCCTGACCTCCCGTTCCTCTTTCGGTTCGTTGGCTACATTCTTGAGATAGTCTGTCATCAGAGTCTTGTATCCCATGATGTCCATAAATATATACACTTTGCCGTCGTTTGTGATATAAGTCTGTTTGACGTGAAACAGGTTCTTGTGATTCAGCGACTGAAAGATCTTCATCCGCTCCTTCTTATAGCCATCCCTTACCACTTGCGACAACCCTTTAATTGTTACGATTTTGAGTCCATAGTCCCGGGCGTCCTCTGGAAAGGTAGCCTTAATGATAGTCCAGTTGTCTTGAGAGCCATAACACGTTGTGATCTATTTGCCACCGATCGCGAAGAATGCTGTCCTCGTTGTTGACGTAGTTGGCGTCGAATGGTTTGTTTGACAGCCTTTCCCTCTCGTCTCTCCACTTCCCGGCCCTCAGTTTGTCTAACTTCTGCTGTTTGGCTAACCGTTCACTCCGGGAGGACATCACTTGACACAATTCAGAGCTTAGGTTTCGCTTAATTGTGGCGTTTGTTTATTACAAGTGGGGTATCGATGAAAATGTATGCAATTTTTGATTGTATTTTGTCTCAAATAATACGGTAATTACTAATTATAAAATCTATTTTATTTGAAATATAACGACTAATTCATACAACGTTTGATTTAACAATAAATTTACAGTATCTCGTGTATTGTATTATGTTCTTGATTACGAGGGGTTTTCTTTAGAAAAACTTTTTCTACATAACCGTTACTTTAAAAAATTAAAACTTATAAATAATAATTAATTTATACACATCTCTAATCCAAAAGCTGCTGAAATGTGATCAATACTATGAAAGCCTCACAAACAGTGATCTGAATTCGTTAGAAAAGTTGACCGAAGATATCAAAAGTTTTGATGTGATTGTGTTCACTGAAAAAGTCATACCACAGCCCACTACTACTACTACTACTACTACTACTACTCAAACTGTTTTACCTCCAACACCCAGTGATAGTCATGACAAACCATCAGATCATTCATCCACTGTACCGGTGTTATCAAAAGTCATTGAAAATCCCAGTGAATGGACAAAACTACCACTAATAGCAATAATTATATGTAATTAACGAGAAATACAAAAATGATTAAAACGTTTATTAATTTGTTAATCAATTTATAAAACAGTTATTATCGGAGGTGTGGTCCTACTTATTGTAAGTCTTATTATATGCTCTTTTTGTGGTATGTTATCAAAACCAAGTCCTGCGGAACAGAAAGAGATTCGTCAGCAAAAGTTGAGGCAAAAGATCGATGCAATCAAACGGAAAAGATAGTCCACTGGAAGTGCATTCAAATTATAAAATTACAAAATATCGCAAATAATAATCTAAATTCTGTGGCAAATAAAATGTGTTTATTATAAATTTAATTTATTGTTAAATGAATGGCTAATCGTTGAGATAATATATGACAGTAAAGAACAGGAATTTTAATGGATTTCCCAAAACTAATAGGTTTTTAGTCATAAAAATTGATTTACAAATGAATTAATCTATGGATGGCTGCGAAGATCGTTAAACTCTTCCCGGTTTAGCACTTTTGGGTGATGTGTTGGGCGACGCCTTCGGGAAGTGTTGGGTCTGTCTCTCCAGTCGGTAGTAATCCTCTTCCATAATAGTCTTGAAGGGCTTCATCTGATGACTGGGCGGCGGGTTTCTGATGGACCACAGGATGCTATACAAGTAGCCGAGGAATGGCACACAAAACAGATATATGGCCACAACTGCCAGCAGTGCCGATGAGATTACTATAGACGTGTAGAAAATGTTGGGAAACAAGAAGGGACTCCTTTTCTCATCATCACTATAAGTGACCACCACTTGTAGTAGGACTGCAATCAAGTGTTTGATTAACATTTTGCAAGTAATTCAAGTCATACACCAGTTGTTAGTATTTATGGGCGAAAAACTCTTCACTCAATTATCGGACACTTTGTGGTTATAAGAGATTTGAATGACTTTTTATAACTGATTTCATGTGAAATACAGCGCGCATTGCAATCATTGATAACTATTGTTGTATTCATTACTGAATGTCTGTCAGATATAACACACGTGTTGAACAGTGTTTGTATGGATATTGTTTGAGATAATCACTTGATTTGATTCTATGATTAGCTGCCAGTGCAAGGACTGTCCCTTTCAGACCAAACATAGGGCTGCCATGAAAACACACTTACGAGGAGTCCATCAAATTATGAATTTAATATAATTTATTTAAAACAAAAATATTGTCAAAAGTAATATTTATTGTCTGATATTGTAATCCGTTTTATAAAACCGAATATAAAAATCCGAATTAAAAGTTTAAAACTTATGAAAAATTTGTTTTATAAGACGTTTTCTATAGGATTTCCACTCAATAGGAGTTTTGTTTTGGTTTTCAAAACAAATTATTTTTTTGTGAATTAAATGTAAAAACAATTGAATTAAAAGTGATTTTGAATTGAATTTAAGATCAGATTAGTTGTGAAAATGTGTGAAATACTGATCAATGATTTGGTGGAAGAGTTGAGTGAAGAAAATAAGAGACTTTTAAATGAGTTATCATTTGAGAGACAATTGAATGAAATGTTAGAAA